TGGGGCTGGGCGCTCCGCAGGCCCGGGTGAGCCGGTGGCATGGGGCAAGTGGACTGCAAGCGACTCTGTCTGTCTTTGTTTGACTACAAGACCGAAAAGTATGTGGTGGCCAAGAACAAGAAAGTGGGGCTGCTCTACCGACTGCTGCAGCTCTCCATCCTGCTCTACCTGGTCCTGTGAGTCGGGGCGCGGCTGGGCAGGAGGGATCCACCCCCCCTGCCGAATCCGCTCGCAGGCTCAGGCCGGGCCGCGGTGCCTGGCTGGGAGAGTCCTCCCGGAGCCTTGGAGTGTGAAGATGGGGCTCAGGAGCCCTCTCCGCCCTAGGAGGTGTGGGCAGGGCTCCTTGGTTTGTGAGGCTTGTCGCGGGCAGCTCCTTCCCACGGGCCGGGAGCCCTCAGTGCCAGGGCAGCGGGAAGACGGCAGGAATGCGGTGAGCTCAGCTGCAGCCGCCCCTGTGCCTCCGACAGCCGGCGCAGGCAGCCGGACGGGTTATTTATAATCAGTCCGTGTCAGTGTCTTACTCTTGGTGGACAGCTCACCAGCCTGGCATTTCCCAGAGCGAACTCCCTTCCGGTCAGCTCCCCGGACCTGTGACTGCCTCTGACTGCCTCTGTGAGATTCAGCTGGGGATCCATGCCCAGGAACCCCAGCCCTACTGGGCACCTCCTAATGCCCACTCTGCCTAGCAGGCAGCGATTCCACCAGCCTAGGGCTGCTTCCTTGAGATTGCTCAGCCAGGCCTTGGATGGAGCCTCGGCCCTGGGAGTGGGTTATGTGTAGCTTGAATAACTAGAATGACTGCATGCATGTGTGCCCGTGCACACACATGCATGTGTGAGTGTGTAAGGTACAGGGGTTTGAACTCAGGGCCTTGTGCTCTCCCTTGACTTTTTTGCTCAAGACTGGTGCTCTACCACCTGAGCCACACAGTTCCACTTCCAGATTTTTTCCCCCCTGGTTAATTGTAGATAAGAGGCTCATGGACATTTCTGCCCAGATTGGTTTCAAACTGCAATCCTCAGATCTCAGCCTCCTGAGTAGCTGGGATTACAGGTGTAAGTCACCAGTGCCCATCTAGAATGCATTTTCTTTTTCTCATTCAGTGAATGATGTCTTGCATCTCTTTCTGGGAGGGCAACCCTGACCCTAGTCTTGCTTCCTCCCAGAAGCTGAGCTTACTCATCACCCCCAAAGCACCTGGCTGTCTCCCACCTTGTGGCTTTTTATGTGCTGTTCCTTAGCAAACTTGCTTTTCTTTTTTCTTGATGAGCTTCCCTTCATCTTTGAGACAGGATTCTCACATAACTCTCCCTGTTTTCCTCCCTAGCATTCTTGCAGTGTAATTATAAGCTAATTCAGAGAATCATTTGCTCACTGTCTGGTGTTGCTATGTGGATAGGGCCTAATCACTTATTAGAGAACAGATGTGAAATGAATGAGGGAAGGAAGGAAAGAAGAAAGAAAGAAAGGAAGGAAGGAACTACTCTTGAATAGTTTGCCTAATTTTTTTTTTTTTTTGTCGGTCGTGGGACTTGAACTCTGGGCCTGGGCGCTGTCCCTCAGCTCTTCAGCTCAAGGCGAGCGCTCTACCACTTGAGCTACAGCACCACTTCTGGTTTTCTGGTGGTTTTATTGGAGATAGGAGTCTCACGGTCTCTCCTGCCCGGGCTGGCTTTGAACCGCGATCCTCAGATCTCAGCCTCCTGAGTAGCTAGGATTATAGGCGTGAGCCACGAGCGCCCGGCTTAGTTTGCCTAATATTTTTGCCTGGGCCAGCCTCAGTGTGTCTCTTCTGAAAGGACTGTTTGGTTTAAAGGTTACACCCCTCTCAGGGTGATATGACAGCCTAAGAACCACGACTCCTGGGTTGCCCCAGACAGCAGGAGGTGAATACTTGGTCTAGCTGGTTAGTTACACTTCTGTACTAAGTATGCTCACTAGCTCCCTGGAAAGTGCTGGCATCCTACACTTTCTGCTCCATGACCTCAGGCAGACAGACAGAAGACTACCTCCTGTCTTGACTTCAGTTTCCCCAACTTCCCTAAGAAGGATTAACCTGGACTATCCTAGAATCAACACCCACAGTAAGCTGGTGAGTTGTGTGTGAGCTCTTCTGCTGCCGCTACTCACTGTGCCTGGCACATGACATGCTGCTCATCTTAAATGTATCTTTTGAGCCAGTGCTGTTGGCTGAGGCCTATAATCCTGGCTACTTAAAAGGATGAGGTCTGAGAATTGAGGTTTGAAACCAACCTGATCAGCCAAACCCATGAGAGTCTTATATACAATTAACCAACAAAAACAACAAAAAGAGCTGAAAATAGAAGCCAGCCAAGCAAGAGCACAAAGCCCGGAGTTTAAGCCCCAGTCCTGGAATTTTCGTGCACACACAGACACACAGACACAGACACAGACACAGACACACACACACACACACACACACACACATGTACACACACACAAACATAGACATATATGTTGTGTTTTGACATCAGACTTAGAGAAAAGTGACAAAAAATAGTAAGAGAAAAAAACAATTGGGGTTCAAGGGATGGCTCAGGTGGTAGAATGCCAGCCAGTGAATGAAGAAAGTGTCAGATATTGAATTTGAGAGTAGAGCACCAGTACCTTATGCCCATTATTCCAGCTATTCAGGAGTCTAAGCTCTGAGGATTGCAGTTTGAAGCCAACCTAGACAGGAAGGTCTGTGAAATCTTTATCTCCAAATAACCAGCCAAAAGCCAGAAGTGGAGTTGTGGCTCAAGTGGTAGAGTGCCAGCCTTGAAATAAAAAGCCCAGGGACAGCATCCAGCACACACATAGATCATTGAATGCCCTTTCAGCAGAATTCTCAGATGTTAGTGTCTTGTTTTCTTTGCTCATATTCACATATGACTGCTGCAAGAGTAGATTGCAGGTGAGATAACTCTTCATTCCCAAATGGTTTCTATGTATCTCTTGAAAACAAGAAATTTACTTGCTAAGATTGTGAAAGCTGGAAATCCCCGGTGGTAATGCCAGTATGGCCAGATACTGATGAGGGCCTCTTGACTTGCAGATGACCCATGTAATGGGGAGAGCAGGAGTTCTCTTATTTTATGAAATACAAGTATGAGAAGCAGAGATTAAGCTAGTGCTGGTGGCTCACGCCTTCTACTCAGGAGGCTGATATCTGAGGATCAAAGTTTAAAGCCAACCTGGGCAGAAAAGTCCATGAAACTCTTATCTCCAATTAACCAGCAAAAAGCTGGATGCAGAGATGTGGCTCAAGTGATAGAGCACCAGCCTTGAGTGAAAAAGCTAAGTGAGAGCATAAGTGCCGAGTTCAAGACCCAATATCAGGGCTGGGAAGGTGGTTCAGTGGTAGAGTGCTTGCCTTGCATGCATGAGGCCCTGGGTTCGATTCCTCAGCATCACATAAGCAGAAAAAAAAGCCAGAAGTGGAGCTATGGCTCAAATGGTAGAGTGCTAGCCTTGAGCTGAAGAGCTGAGGGACAGCGCCCAGACCCAGAGTTCAGGCCCATGACCGGAC